ATAGTTCCTGAAGCTCTTCCCCCAACCCGCAAGAATGATTCCTGAGCACAGAGCTTGGAGTAAGTCCTGAGCACTGCTAGGTGTGACCCAGGAACCAAAAGAAATTTTTTTTTTAAGTTTCAGTGTCTCCTAGTTTTATCTTTTCCCCTTTTGTCTCTGTGGCCTTGTTTTGATCAGTTTACAGCTAGTCCAAGACCAGAACCGAAATTGGAGAATTTATTTCCTTTTCTTCAAATAAAAAAATTTGTGTGTGTGTGTGTGTGTGTGTTTGTGTCTGTGTGTGTGGTGTATGATATCTGACAGTTCTTAAAGGGTGCTCCTGGCTTCAAGCTTGGGGGATTGTGAGGGATTGGGGGGAATCGAACCTGGGCCTCCTGCATGCAAAGCATGCACTCTTAGCCCTTTGAGCTATCTGCTTGGACTCAAAAGGGAAAAGTTTTAGAAACTTTACTATCAGAGTAATTTTATATGTGTCAAATTTAATAACAAAAAATTTGGAATTTAGAGCCAAAGAAAGAGTACAGAATTAAAGTGAAGTGACTTTTTTTGTTGTTGTTGTTAGCTTTCTTATGTTTTTGTTTTTGGACCATACCTGGCAGTACTCAGGGCTTGCTTCTGGCTCTGTGCTCATGGATCACTCCTTGCAGTTTTGGGGGACCATATATGATGCCGGGGATCCAACGTGGGTTAACTGCATACAAGGCAAGTATCTTAGCTGCTGTAGTGTACCTTTAACCCTTGTACATAGATTAAGGCTCTTAATAACCAATCAGGTTTGATCTCCAGTATATATCATATGTCCACAGAGCCAGGAGTAAGTCCCAAGCACCACTAGGTGTGGTCCCCCAACCAAAATAAAACAAAGCAAAAGAAATGAAAACATCCTATAGTTTGAGAAACACTAGATCACAAGAAGATGAATAAGACTTTTGACATATAAATTTTTGACTTTTGACAATAAAGATGTACTATATCCACATAAACACCATTATTTCAGTTTAAGTTTTACTGTCTTTAACCTAACTAAAATCCCAGCAAAACAATTGATGTGGTGAGAGCTCTGGGGTTTTTGCTGTTTGACTTGACCTGTGAAATCTTGGTCAAGTGGTTTAATTTTTCAATGGTTTAACTTTTCATTTATTTGTAATAATTATAGGACTCACCTCATAAAGATTTTCCTGATGAAAAATAATATACATTGAAAACACATCAGAGAATCTGAACCATACATTATAAATGCAGCCAGCCCCAATATGATTCCTGGCACTGCACACTGTCCCCTAAACTAGCCGTCCCTCAAACTCTCACCCCAACAAAGGACCAAATAAAATCAAAGTGCAGATTTAAGAGTGACTTAAAAAATCATGTTAGAAAAAAACTCACGTTGGAAGTTTGTTTCAGTAACTATAAATGTGTTTATTGTACTCTTGCACCTAGTAATTTCATTTTTTATCTTTAAATGTCTACATTCTTGAAGAAAGAGAAGGAAATCTTTTATATTCAGGATTCCTTGTTTTGTCACTAGTTTGTTGATGTTCAGGCTTTTCTTTCTCTTTCTGCGCTATATATTTTTTCAGGTTACTTTTGTAGTGGGCTGGAGCGACAGCACAGTGGTAGGGCGTTTGCCTTGCGCGCGGCCGACGCTGCTGACTCAGATTCAATTTCTCTACCCCTCTCGGAGAGCCCAGCAAGCTACTAAGAGTATCTCGCCCACAAGGCAAAGCCTGGCAAGTTCCCCGTGAAGTATTCAAGTATTCGATATGCCAAACCAGTAACAACAAGTCTCACAATTGAAACGTTACTGGGCCCCTGGAGCAACTCCATGAACAATGGGAAGACAGTGCTACAGTGCTACTTTTGTAGCAATGTGAACGTTCTTACCTAAAGCCAGAAAGATCTAGAAATTTCAAGCTGTGACTAGACTTCCAGAGGACTTATCACAAAAGTTGAATCCAACCTTGACCCAAGAGTCTTCTCAGATGTCCACCAAAGACAATTCCCAAAAAGATTCATCTGCCTCTCAGCTGCTCCCAGAGGCTAGATACAGAACCTCCTTAGCAACCTGATTCCGCCCTAGTTCCACAGATCCTTCCCATGTACCAGAATATTCACCAGGAGAGAAGGACTATGAAAATAACTTATAGGGGACTGGTAAAAGAAGAGGGGAATAAAAAAGAGGGTGGTTCCTGGGGGGGGGGGGGGGAAACTGACGAAAATTATAATTAAAAAATTAGATACCCAATACCTCAATTTCTTTCTTCTGAGAACTATAGCAGAAAGTAAAGGTGATTCCATTTTTACTTATTTATTTTTAACAATGTAGGGCTATAGTGTACATTCCTTGTGAGAGGCCCTGAGTTTGATCTCTCACCTGCTGGTAGTATCACTGGTGAACGCCACACAATTGAAACATATATTTCTACATAGCTGTCATTACCGAGAGTATTCGATATGCCAGACACAGTAACAACAAAGTCTCCAATGGAGACGTTACTGGGCCCGCTCGAGCAAATCGACGATCAACGGGAGGGCCTTTACCTTTACCTTTAGCTGTCATTATTACTTATCCATAGTGTTTCCTGAGAAGAGCAATATGGGGATTGTGTCTTAGCATACCCATAAATCTCATCTACTCCTATTCAGTTCCCATTGTTTCAGTTATTGGAGATGGTACATATGCTTGGTTGGGGATTCCTAGGGGTTATACATCTGATTGTGGTACTTGCACAGTAACAGTACTACCAGGGGGTGCATTCTTTTTATCAGCTGGGATGCTGGTCATCATTTCAAAGTTCTTTGTGGTGCTCACACAAGTCTGACTGGGGAAACACAGTTGAGTCATAGTGTTCTGACACTGGAGATGGTGCTCCTGGGTTCTGGGGCCCGGCGTCCAGACAGCAGAGTCATAGGGACTGTGCTCAGAGCATGAGGGCAGTGTTGGAAATCAAACTAAGACTTCACCTTGGCAAGGAAAGTGCTTCGACATTGAGTCATCAAAGCTTATTCTTGTAGCTTATTTATTTTTTATTTTCATTTTTTGCTTTTTGGATCACACTCGGCAATGCACAGGGGTTACTCCTGGCTTGTGCTTAGTAATTACTCCTGGCAGCGCTTGGGGGACCATCTGGGATGTTGGGAATCGAAACCCGGGTGGGTTGCATGCAAGGCAAATGCCCTACCCGCTGTGCTATTGCTCCAGCCCCTTGTAGTTTATTTTTTTTAACAGTAATTTTTCAGATAATTATGAGCAACCTGGGAAAGCTACTGTATGCTACAGACTGTATTGTCAATATATTGGTAACTGAAAGTCCTTATTCTTGCATTTCTTTTAAGATTTTCAGGGTTTACTGCTCATGAAAGGACTTAATAAACATCTCACACCATCCACTAGAGTGCCTGTGTCCCGCTACCATTGTCTGAAGGTCGCTAGTCCAGTCATGGTAAGCTCAGTTCTGAGGTGCTGATACTTTAGGCCATTTGTGATTCCCTTAGTGTCTTTTTATATCCCACATGGCAAATCATTCTGTACCTTTTTCTAACTTCACTCAGCTTCGCATCTCTTTTCTAACTTGACTAAAGTTAGAGATAGAAAGAATCTATGTCCTTGCTGTTGAATCACTTTAATTTACTTTAGTTCCTTGTTTTGATAGGATCCAAAGAAACACTAAGGCCTTGAGAATTGCCTGCGTGTATTCTAAAAGTCTGAAGCCAGTCAGATGAAACCTAACACAGGAATTTGAAGCACAGTTAACTTGTATGGGAGGAAGGTAAAGAAAACATTGAGTGTTTTGGCTAGCGCATAATTAGGGCAGGATGTTTCAACTAGACTTTCAAAAAAATTGAATTGTAATAAATGTTTTAGAGTGTACTTTTAAAAATTCATGTGTATTAAAAGAGTCTTGTAAAAGTTGAGATGAATTTGGACACCTTTAAAAAAGGGAATGGAGAATTCATCAAAATTTCTATGTTCACTTAATATGTTTTTGTAGCTGTTAAATGTTCTTTTGTAGCTTATGTAGAAATATGAAAAACAGGATCCAAACTTGCATACACTCTAAAATCACTCTTGTAAAATGAAATGCATGTGACAAAGGTCTCTAATATACAAGATGCTGAGAGTCACTGTGTTAGGATGGAGAAATTTTTCTTTATTGACCTTCCATTTTATGATGTGGTTAAAAAATTTAGAGAAAAAGCAATTACTTTAAATGCTGGGTATAAAAACGACACTCCGATTAGAAGGTTTTAAAAAAATTAATGATTTCAACCTTCTTCTTGGACCAAGGATATAGCTCAATGGTACTGTGTATGCCTCACAGGTGACTCTAGGTTCGATTCTTGGTTTCAGCCCTGAAAGACAAATAGCCCTCTTTTCTATTATTTTCAATCCCTTACGTTTCTACAGAGCGCAGTGAGACTGCCACTATCACATATAGATACATATATCTATGTTAGCAGATATTCCTGCAGTGATTTACAGAATAAAACTCCAATAGACTAACAATCCTGGCATTCGTAGAGGACTCTATTAAATCTTTCCTTTGACAAAAGAACCCAAACAGGACCCCTGTCTATAGGACAGGACAGTAACCTAATACCGTTTATAGCTCCAGGTGCACTGGTGAGTGCTCCACCGATGGAGCACGCGGGGCCTGACGACCATTCTGGCTAGCCTTAGGGTCCAGTGCTGCTTCTCCAGGTCATGCCTGAGCGTTCCTTCTCCAGCACCTCGCGGCCTCGCAGCCGGCCGCTTCTCCCCAACTTCTCCGGGTCAATTCCCCTTCGCGCTTCCCGTCCCCAGCGACCGAAGTGCCACCGCGCGATCGGCAGGGGGCGCTGCGAGCCTCCACCCACCAGGTTCCCGCGGCCCCGCCCCTGGCCAACCGTCGATTGGGCCGCCCGGTGACGTCACGCCGTTTTAGCCAAACAAATGGGTTTCGGGGCGAGCGTTGGACTCCGCCGCGCCGCGCTGGGCGCTCGGTCCGCCTCAACGCTGGGGAACGAGCCAGGCCTCCCGCCGCCGCCGCCGCCGCATCGGGGTGTGCAGCGCCGGGCCAGGCCCCGAGCGGGGCAGGAGCGCAGGTGGGTCGGGGTCTGGGCGTGGGCCGCGGCGCGAGGACGGCGCGGTCGTGGTCCGGCGGCGGCGGCGGCGGCCACCGTGGCCGCTCCCCGCCCCCTCCCGCCGCCCGCCTGCGCTCCCGGGGTAGCCGGGCGGCGGGTGGGGGCGGGGACGCCGTCCGTCCGCGGCTCCGGGCCGGCTCGCGGCGCGCCCCCGGACCCCCGCGGCCCGTGCCCGCCTCCCCGGGCCGGGGGTGGGGGTGGGGGCAGCCTCGGCCGGGCGCGCGGGCCCCCTCAGGAGAGGGCGCCTCGCGGCGGGCGCCGGCTCCGCGCGCCGGGCTGAAGTGGAGGCGCTCAAGGATAGGCCGTGAGGAGGCACCGGAGCGGCTCTCCCACCTCCGCGACCTCCCGCGGCTGCTTGAAGTCTGCGGGTGTGTGTGTGTGTGTAGGGGGATGGCGGGAGCTAGCGGGGGAAGGGGGTCGGCGGGTCCGAATCGTGCCTGCCCCGCGTCCGCCAGCGACCTGCCCTTCCCCGCGACCGTGCAGGTGAGCTGGCGCCCGTGCCCCCTCAGGCACTGGGGCAGGACGGCGGCGCGAGGGCGGCGCTGGCCGCGGTGTGCTTGTGTGTGCGTGTGTGTGTGTGTGTGTGTGTCCCAGTGTGTGTGTGTTTTGGGGGGGAGGCTGGCGCAGTGGCGACTGCAGTTGTCCCCCCTTCCCTCCCGCCCTCGCGCACACACACAACCGGGACCGCGATGAAGTCACAGAGCGGCAGCGGGGGGGCCGCGTGCCCATGACGTCAGGGGCGCCCAGGAGGCGGCTGTGACGTCACCGCAGACCCCGGCGGCGGCGGCGGCGGCGGGGACCTGGGTGCACAGGAGGGCCCGGCGGCCGAGCCCGAAGCGGGGGTGGGGTGGGGGGGTGAGACCGGAGGAAGTTGAGGCGTGCCCGCCTCGCGCTCGGCTGGTTGGCAGGCGGTCGCCGCGGACCTCGGAACCGAAAGTTGTCGGGTCTCAGCGCTTCACGATTTTCGAGTAATAGTTGTCAACTTTTTTTTTTTTAACCACCCCCCCCCCCCTTTAAGTTCATTCCTAACTGCCGTTGGATCTGGGGCGCGTTTGATCGGGGGGAGACCTGCCTATCCACTGGAAGGAAGGGGACTGAGATGGGGCGGCGGGGGCAAGGGTGCAAGGGTGCGTAATAGGAATGCCTTTCGGGGAAGCTAAGCTGTTTGCTTTGATGGAGACACACGTACGTGCGCGCGCGCACACACACACACACACACTCACACTCACAACTCCCACTACCTCCGGGTTCATTGGCAGCTCATTCGTTTGGGCTTTCCTCTTGTTTTTCATCGTTTTGTTCACATCTTTCTTGGAGAATGACCGGGAAGATGGAGGGCAGACCTTAGATGGATTTTTTTTTAATTTATTTTTATTGTAGTGGCTTGGAATAAATTCGGTATATATTTTGGCGAAGTGGAGCTGGCAGCAGGGGGCACACCCAGCAATGCTCAAGGCTGACTCCTGGTGCAGTGCTCAAGGGATCACTTCTGGCGGTGCTCCTGGAACCGAATGGGATGATGATGTGGGGATCGAACCCAGTATGGCCGACCGCCTGCAAGGCAGACGCTCCTACCCGCTGCACTATCATTTTGGCCCTGAAATTAGAGTTTTTAAGAAGTGTCTTTTCTATGGGTATTTCCCTCCCCCCAAAGATTTCACGAGATCGCGTTATTATTCCATCATATCAATGAAATATAATGTTTCTCATTTCTCTCCTCCTTTGCAATAACGAATATTCACAGTATTTAAACCGTATTTGAAAGTAGTTGGAAATGTAGAGGCTTGTACACTGTAGTATCTTCATAGGGTAGCTTGGATGGGAGTCCTCCTTCCTCACTGACCTTGACCTGTAAGTTTTTTTTTTTCTTTTTTGGTTTGTTTTTGGTTACTACTTCCTTCTCGGATTTGGACTTCAAAGGTGATAAGGCATTCTCCCTGGATTTTATATCAACCAGCAGGTGGAAGTTATGCTGTGCTCTATAAAATGAAAGCCAAACTTTGCCCTCTTTAATGATTGTTGGATTTGACTGAAAGTTCTCAGAGCAAGGCTTTCCTTAAAATCCCTTTTTATCTTCATTATACTGAGAAAATATAACAACATTGTATGCACTACTGGTGCTTGGTATGTTTTTTTTTTTCTACCAAGTTTCATTCTCTTCCTTCCCACTGCCGCCAAACTGGGGTCTCATATACTTTGAAGCATTTTTTAAAAATATTTTTTTAATTGAGGTACTGTAATTTACAGTTATTCATAACTTTACAATCAGCCATGATCAAATTCCATGTGGATGGTTTACCCGACCTCAGATCTCAACCCCATCACACCAGTATCAGACATCACCCCCGCCTGGGCTCTGGGACCATTTGGGGTGCCAGGGACCCAACCCTGATCAGTCGCATCGCTCAGCTGCTTTGCAAGGCAAACGCTGTAACTGCTGTCCTATCACTCTGGCTCCAAAGCATGATTTTTTAAAAAAAAATTTAATTTGGTGATGTCCTGTGATTTACAATACTATTATTGGTATTTCCTCTGAAGCATACTGTCTAATCCATTGACTCCCTGCCAAGAGTTTTGCTTTTTATTTCAAAATAAATTAGAAATTACATGGTGACAATGCTGAATGAAGAATCTAGACAAAATTTGAACCTTTGGAGCCTCGGGTTTGATAGATTACCAAATTAACGTGAAACTGTTGCTTTTGGGCTTGTTAATATGCTTTTAAAAGAGAAGGAGCAGTATTCAAAAGATAATACTGGTAAGATTGAAAGACACATATATCCTAGTAGTCTTTTACTTGCCTGAGACTTTACTATAAATCTGTAAAGTGTAGCAGTGTAAGTGGGAAGGGATGAAAGTCAAACTGTGATTGACAGAAAAATGATAATAAAGTAGTGCCTTCTTGGCAGTGCCTTTTTTACCTTTTCAGCAGTTGTATAAGTTTTATTTTTCCTTATGAAAAATGAGTTACTACTTGGAGAATAATGTATGACTTGTTTGTTCTGATGTAATTGAGTGACTGAACAACACAGATTAAAACAATAGCCAGTTTACGTGTATAGTTGTATAATTATTAACAAGCCATACGTACTTTGGTATCTCAGTTTTACAGTTTATACTTTTTTTCATCTATACCTTGCAGTTTTGGTTTGGTTTAGGAAGTAGCTTACTTTTGTGTGTGTGTGTGTGTGAAGTAAGGTAGGCTTTTGTTTGTTTTTGAGGACCTCACCTCGAAATGCTTAGGGTTTATTCCTGGCTTTGCATTTAGGGATTACTGCTGGTAGTCTCAGAGGACCATATGAATGGCTGGGATCAAACCCTAGTTAGCACATGCAAGGCACGCACCCTATCCACTGTCATTTAGTTACAGTATTGGAAGGGACAAAATCAACCTGCCTTTGATGATACAGCATATTTTTGACATGAAAGAAAATATCAGAGTGAATATTATTTTAGAAATTCTTAGAAATATGTTTCTTGACTCACTTTTAAGGTTCCACAGAATTCAAATTTTTACACAAATGTTCTACTTTGTTTTTTAAATTTAAAATTATGTTCAATCAGCTTGATCTGGAGTTTTGATATTCTAATAAACAATCTTGTTTTTAATATTTGTTAGGGAGGAAACATACTAAGCGTTAGAGACATCATTTATTGTGTATCATCCAGAATTTGGAGCTGTTTAGAACCAGATATGTGAGGGAAGCTACTATGGTATAATGAATGCTTGCCTTGTTAGGTCATGTGTGACAAAGGAAAAATTCAGCAGGGGCATAATCTGTAGTCCTGTAGCAGCAACAAAAACAAAAAAAGAACCGATTAACTCCAAATGTATTTAGGTCACTGGGAAATTGAATTCCTGTTCATCCTATCTTTCTATGATTTATCTTTTTTCTTTTAGTTTCTGCTTAGACCATACTGTTATATCCAGTGAAACATTAATGGTTAAAATATATGTTTCTGTTTTCTTTCTTTGTTTTGGTTTTTGGGCCACACCCAAAAAGGAAAACAAAGTAACCTGTGCTCAGGGTTTACTCCTGACTTTGTGCTCAGGGATCTCTTCTATCAGTGCTCAGACCATATGTGATACCAGAGATTGAACATAGGTTGATGGTATGCAAGGCGAGCTCCATAATCCCAGTATGATCTCTTTGGCCACAGAATATAGATTATAACATTTCTTAAAATAGTTTTACAGTCTATTTCAGTTCCTGACTTCTGCCTTGGAGAATCTCCATATTTTCCCCTTTCTTAATGTACAATTTGAATCCTATCATGAACCTTTCCTACTTTCAGCACATGTAGACTTTAACTTAGAACTCAGCACTATGTAAATGCGGTTATTATTATCAGACACAGATTTTATTTACACAACAATCATTTTTTGTGTACTTCTATGCCAGTTATGCAGCCTTTAACTGTGATACACAGGTGAATTATCTTTGCTATAAAGGACTCTGGACCTTAGTTTTAACTTTCCTTTGTCATGCAGTGTGTCCCAGAGTGGGCAATAGCTGATCACTGGAACCATGTGGGAGTGATAATAGCCATGGTGTAATTAGGGGGCACTCTCTGTTTGCTTGTGGTAGGTTTCTAGCTGGGGGGGGGTGCTGAGTATTTTGAAAAGGGCAGTGTATGCCAGTTCTGTTCCCAGTTTGGGGACCTCTGTTTAGAGGACCATGGGTCTGAAAGACCAGAATTGGATCCACAGGATGAACTAATTGTTTGGCCAGATTGGTCAGAGGTCTTATTTGAAGTTTAGATTAAAGAGATATTAGATTAAGGGTTCACAGGACAGATTTGAGTTGTCCTAGAGTGAATGGAGCTTAGTAGAGTAAGTATTTTGTTTGAGGCAAGAGCAAGTGCTCATGTCCAGAACTAGTCTGTACAGGCAGCCTAAAACTAAAGATAGAGGAGGGACAATCCAGGGCCAGAGCTATAGTCAGTGGCTAGCGTGCTTG